CCGGCCAATTTGTCTGGCATTGAAAAATTAATAACATTTTATAATACCGCAAACACAATGGCCCTATTTTTTGTACATTAAGATCACTGAAAAATGTTAAAACTTTTCACATAATTTTCCGCAGAGATACTCGACTCCGAACATTGGAAACCGTCTAGCAATTTATTTTTATCATTTTCATAACAAAAATTTTCATTGTTTCGATTACCAGACAAAAAGTAAACGATGGTTTTTTTTTCTTCTTGCAAGTTCACCCCTATGAACCACCCATGTGCGCTAGCTCACGGTCTATCAAACGTACTCCTTTAACTTGGACAATAATTATACAAGAATTTACGTATTTACGTAAATTTACTCTGCACATGTTCCGTTAAAAATTAAATAAGAATGTCTCTCATAAATCTTCTAAAACAAAATACTGTAAGCTTAGCATTAAGTAAGTAGACCTACTACCGTGATATATGTTGCATCCGGTTGTTTCTGTCGAAAAAAAAGAGAAACATAATACCGACAAGAATTATAGAGTTACGTCCATCAAATTTGGACAAAGAGAATTTGGTGAAGCGGATATTGTATCCCTCAGTAGCTTCAATAAAAAGGGTCGCTACATTTTCAAAGAATTACCTATGTTTAGCGAATTTGTTTTCAGTAAAACGATTACTATAAAAAGGTACATGGTGTGTAAGCATTGAGTACAAAATCATTTTTTACCGAAAGGTAAGAGTAAAGTATGTTAAAATATTTTTCAATAATGCAGTTACAAAAAAGTTATTTAAATCAAGTTGAGAAAAAATAAAAAAAAAAGGAATAGAAGGTGATCAGTAAAGATTCGGAGGTAAAGTAAAAAATCAGAAGATTTCTTCAAAAAAATTCAGTTAGACACAAATGTTTTGCAGAAAGATACCATATAGGTACTGATAGAACGTTTTTGCCCTATCGTCTTTTGTTTTTGAGACGCGGGGGGTCAAAGGAAATTTTTTTAGTCAGATTTTAATTATATTATTTCTAAAAACAATATAATTTGTTGACATTTGGTACAGGTAACTCTTCAAAGATACTAATTGCAAGAGTGTAGTTAATTTTTGACCATCTGTTAGAAGTTGCACTTAGGACATACATTTTCTGAAATTAATTTTTTCATGGTACTACTATGTAAAATTTTAGTTTGCATAAAATGATACACTTGTTAAAATCAATGAAAACACATCGCTTTGAGAAAAACGCAATTGACTGTCCCAAAGTCAACTAGCTTCTATTCCTTAATATACAGAGTCTCCTCAAATGAATGAGTTATACTTTAAGGGTGGCCTTCTTGGAGGAAACTAAACAGATTTATATTAAGTTGCTTCCTTAAAAAGTTATACCAACATTAGTGAAAATTAAATAAAAAAACTGTTTTACTGCCGATAACTTTTGAAAAAGAAATTACTTCGGCAATTTGATCTAAATCGGTTTATTATCATCCAAGCAAACTATCTTTGAAGTATGTCATGTTCTTTTCCAGGTACCTTGTATGTTAAATGGAACAGTTAATTGCGTTTTTCTCAAAAATGGTTTTCAGCTATATTAACAAGAGTATCATTTTTATGTAAATTTTACATCATAAGACATCCTTGCTTACTCCGTAAAAAACCTAATCTCAAAAGATCGTAGCTAGCGACATCTAGCACATAGTCGAAAACACCTACCACTAACGCATTTATTGCCTCTGGAAACTTATCTGTACCAAATTTCAATACAATTAGCTGTTTTTTTTTTTTGAAAAAGATCATTATTGTTAAATTTGATTAAACGTCTCAAAAGCAAATCTTCATCAATAGTAGTAGTAATTTATGGTAGGTATCTTTTTCCAAATACAAATAAACATTAGATGAAAAGGGAGTATGAAGTCTGATTAAAAGCTTCACTTGTTAATAACAAAGCACCTTTATATTTTAAATAATGGAAATTTTGTTAAAATCGATAATTAAGTAAGCAATTAATTAATCGTGAAAGTTGAGTGAAATATTTGTTTTAGACATATGTGTCCAAAATAATGTAAAAATTAGATAAAATGAGTATGAAGTTTAAGTAAGAGTATACTTTTTGAATAATAAAACATGTTTTTCTATTGAATGACCAAAATTACATTTTATTTAGAAAAATATGCCACCGATACCCTGTATCTGCGCCACTGGAGCATGTAAATTTTAGAAAAAGCCGTCAGATTTTGGACAATGTTTACATAAATATATATGTACAATTTCAAATTATTTCACTTACTAGTTTTTAAATTATTCACAAAAATTTAAAATATTTTTTGAAGTTCAACACTATGTCTTTTTAACGAAACATACTAGATAAAAACTTTATAGGAAAAACTCCCCCTAAAATTCACCAAAGAATACGAGGCTTCATTTTTGGCCACCATTTGTGAATCACCCAGTATAAAAGTTGCCAAATAAACAAATTAACAATTATTTAAAAAATTGAAATATAAGAACTTTATAATACAAAACTGATTTATTGTCATTTTCGACCACTGCGTTGTAAAAATATAAATGGTAACAAATGGTAACAATTTTTGTAGAACAATTTTGAACAAACTTTGTAGAGCAGGATTTTTATAACCCTCTTCTTCTGCAACTTTTATACAGGGTTTTTCAGAAAGACCTCCCGTAAATTCAGGGGGGATAGTACGATAAAAAATAAGAATTTTTTGTCTTATGAACTATGTATATATCTCCTTTTGTTTTCGAGATACAGAGCGACAAATTAAAATTCTTTTAATTTTTTTTATGAGATTTGATATTCCGGGTTTTTTAAGGACACCAAATACGCTGGTCTAATTATTTTTTGGATATTTCATATAGGGCGCTAGTTACACTACATTCCTTAGGTTCTAATTTTTTTAAGATTAAGTTTTTTACCATTCGGGCTCCAATTTCTAATGTACAGTTGTATTTTCTAAAAATAATGTATTCTTATTAGAAGTTCCTAATACGGACGGTTTTCGAGAAAAAAAGCTCTTAATTGAACTCTTACCCAAATAGCCCAAATAGCCCTTTCCAAATGGACTGTATATATAAAAAAAAAACTAAACTCAACTAAACTCACCAAAATGTGACGCAATAGATGTTTCTTTAAGTCGAAGGCAAAAGGAAAGGGAAGAAGGGAATGCACTCGACTTCAAAGGGGTTCACTTCACAAAACCAATTGTACACAACAATTATTAACTATTTCCAACGAATCGAAAAATACAACAACCGTTCTGCGCGCTTGAATCGAGCTAAAGAAAAAAAATAATAAAAAATATTTAACAAAAACCGGTGGCAAAATACCCGCACAAACGTCTAGTGCTTTACCTTTCAAGGCTCCCAATAAATAATGAGTTTTGCTAATGTCGTCTAAGTTAGAATTGTGAACAAGGCTTTTAAAAGATTCGAAAAAAATTGGATCTTAGGATCTCCAGAGAATTCTGGTATATCTAATTTTTGTAATCTAGCAATAGCAGGTTGATTGGCGGATTGATTATTTTGTGAATCTGGTTGATTGTCTAATATTTTTGCTGCCTCTCGTATATGGCAGTATAAAGTATCTATCATTTCTAGAGGTTTATAATTCAATACATATTCAGGATCCATTTCTAAATTTAAGTCGACAATATTTTCTATAGTTTGTTTAAACAAAGCTAAATTATCCTCTAAAGTATTTAATTCGATTTTGAAATTATTTAAATTATCTACGTTCATTAAATTTCTTGATAAACCGTATAAGCGTTGTATTTTATTATAATAGGTTTCTTTTTTAGCCGTAAGTTTAGCAAGTTTAACATGAAAATCTTTCGGTGCCATTGTGAAATAAGAGTAGGTAATATAAAAAAATAAATTAATAAATTGCAACTACAACTATTAATTATTATTCTCTTTTGATAGCTCTATTTAAATAAGAAAAATTAGCGTAAATCAATACCATCAAAATAAGTGAAAAAACAATAATTTTCCAAGGACGCGATGAATTCTATTTAAATATTTACTATGAATAGAATACGAAACTATGCGTCAGTAAAAAAGACATCCAAAAAAGCGACCGACTTTAATTCTGATAACTAGGAACTATTCAAGTAAAACTAATGTATGTATGTTGGAAGTGAACCACAATATTAAAGAAAACTATTAAGTAATGAAGAAATAATACCAGCTTTAATCCGGGTCGTCCTGGACCCGGTGAAGAACGGTGAAGAAAATAAGTGACTTTTCTCAAAGTAGGCTTATGTCAAAACTTATTGAAGGATGTCTCATAAACAACGCATACATTATCTGTAATATTTTAAACTTTAATTAACTTTATATCAAAATTTTACTGATTTTTATTGATTGTAGTTAGTAATGACTAAATGTAACACGAATGTAGCATAACTAGCGTCCTCTATAAAATATACAAAAAATAATTAGACCGGCGTATTTGGCGTCTTTAAAAACCTCGGAATACCAAATTTCATAAAAATATTTCGTACTGTTTGGAAATTTTCATAAAAATTCTATTTAAAAATTTTGATTTTATCGCTCTGTATCTCGAAAACAAGAGGAGGTATACATATAGTTCACAAGATAAAACATTCTTATTTTTTGTCGTACTATCACTTCCTGAATTTACGGGAGGTCTTTCTGAAACACCTGTACAAACGATTTTTGGTAAATCAACTTTTTTTGCGAGTTCTGTCATCTGCTAAAATAAATGAGTCAACTTTATATTATAGAATAAATAAGAAATGAAAAGTAAAAATTCAAAAGAAAATTCTAAGTTAAATACAAAATCAAAATATATGTAAAGAATTAAAAGATGCGTGAAAGATCAGGTGCATAGTAAAAAATTTAGATTCCAGTTAAAAATTTGAAAGTTAAGCAAAATTTTGGGAAAATTTTCAGTATTCTATAGAACGTATAAAAAACAAAATGAGTATAGAGCGAAAAAAAATACTTTTCGAGTAACGAAACACTGAAAGATTAATCTGCACTTACCAGTTCGTGTGTAGAGTCGATGTCTCGGGCTTTGCGTGCTGCTGGGCGTGCTGTGGTCGCTGCTGAGATCGGCGGCGTAGTCTGTGGTGGAATCCTGGCGTCCCGGTGACTTATGGCGACGCTCCCGCTTGCTGTGCCCCAGCCGACTCTGGAACACACACGGCACGAATGAGCATCACCGTGATCGGAGCACGCTGCTATGCGCGATACGCGCTTGCCCTATGGCTCTCGCGATGTTTTGTTCTGGCAATTGACCAAACATCTTAATTAAGGAACTTCTCCAAAAATTATGCAGGACCTATCATTGAAGAGGTGTTTAACTCTCTGTTAGTAGTTGTAATCGCGTGATTGCGTACATTATATTTAATGAAACGTTTCCCAACATAAATTTTACTGAACAGAACTGTGTGGATAAAGCTTTAGCAGCCACATTCCTCTTATGGGAACAGATCTTTAATTGATTTAATGCTATCATTTAAATTAATTTTCAGTTTCTTAACTTCAAAACAATTGAAGAGAAGAGAAAGGAGTTATGTTCATTTATGGTGAAATTGATATAATGGCGGTAGTTTGTAAAGTGGCCAAATTTTGATAATAAAGAGTGGGATCCATATCGTATTTTTTGAAATGATTTCTAAGCTCATGTAGAGAATTTTCGTAATAAAAAAATTCCAACTAGCTTTGCGAAATAAAGAAATTGTATCCATCAGTTAATTATGAAAAAAAAAAAATATATTTCGCAAATATACAGCGTACCCCGCTGTAATGCCCGGAAGAGGGAAAAGTTTTTTATTTGTGGGTTTACGACAAAAAGTCACTCTTTGTAAAAACTCCTGCTTGTTCCAAAACGGTCAAAATTGTTAAAATATTTGAAATTTTTTATACAGGGTGTTCAGTATTTAGAAAAATATTGTTACTCAAATTTATTGCCTCCAATTTCACCACAAATTTCAGCTCTTCTAATAAATTCTCTATAGACATTTCGTATTTCGTATGCAATTGTTTTTCTTATTCTGTTTTTTGAAGTATCCACATTATTACTAAGTGGTTCAGCATAAACTTCTTGTTTTAGATTGCCCCACAAATAAAAGTCCATTATTGTCAGATCACAACTTCCAGGAGGCCATGGAACAGGACCTAATCGTCCTATCCATCGATCTTTAAAATGTTGGTCCAAACATTCTCTAACCATTGTAACCTGAGAGGTTATTTCTTCATTTATCTATCTACCATTACGACCAGCATCATAACGATATTAACTTGTAAAATAGTCTACTATTTAATTCTCGAAAGGGAGTTTATAATTATCATTACACTTTAATTAATACGTGGGAACAGAGAAATGTTGTACGTTCAGAGAATGAACACCAGACACTTACCATATGTCGCTCATGTACAAGGTAATCCAGTGGTTGGTTGTATAAGGTGACACTTAAGTTGAAAGAACAAGAAAGAAACACCAAAACTTCCAGGAAAGGTTTAATAACAATAAAAACAAAACAAACAAACAAAATAACGACACAATGGGCTCGAACAACATTATTAAAATTAATTTATTGACACGCGACAGCGTACTGAGATTCAGGGAATGCGCGATCCATGGCAAAATTTGGAATGACTTTATCATTTTTAAATTAACCCGAGACTCTAAAACAAAGTAGACTGCCCAATGTGGAACCCAAGGAAAAACTGCCTTTTTTTCGAGATATCTTCTGAATTCGACACGTCCATTTCTTGGGTCCAGACGTTTATGTTCCTATCTTACTGGTGGGAACCCTGAATATCGAGACGTGTTAATCGTTATCTAATTGACTGATTTTTACAATTGTCTAAATAATTTTGAGACTAAACTTACAAACAACCCTATACCTTCCTCTTGTGACTCCGCATAGCAATACGGGATGGAATAGTCAATCTTATTTAATCTATCCTTATAGCTTGGAAAATCCGCCAAAAAAACAGCTATTTGACCTATTATGATTTTCCTGACAACTTTAAATATCTTGGAATCCCTACGTGTTCTTTCGAATGCATTTCGAGCGTTATTAGAAATATCGATTTTACTTTTATACCAGATGCTCAACACATGGCCCCGACGGTCTAAGTGAACTTTTTCAAAAAAATATTGCTAAATTTCATGGAACCTTCTTCCAAGGACGGCCTTGTGGCGACGCTAAACCTACTTGAAGACTCTTAACTTTTCGATACACCATAATTGTAGAATAAGATGGATGACCATCTCGTTGAAAATAAGCCCTCTCTCGGTGTGCTAGTTTAAGACAAACGTACTTAGTAACTTCAAATAAGAATGCTGGTTCAAGTTTCCCTCTATAAAATAGGGTCTAACTATTCCAAAATAAGAAACGGCACACCAAACGTTAACTTTTTTTTGTCTACAATTAATTCGAAAATTAGGATTTTCCGAAGCCCAGTATCTACAATTTTGAGAGCTAACTATTCCATTCGTGGAAAATGTCGCCTCATCCGAAAAAATTAAATAAACAAAATAATTTCTGTTTTCGAGATGGTGCTCACCCACCCATAAACAAAATTCCAACCTTTTAGAATTATCCTCTTCTTCTAATGTATGGATAAACTTTGGTTTATAAGGATGTATTTTATATTTTTTTAACAATCTTTGTGAACGAGACTTACTAACGTTTCCAATTTCTGAAGCTCTTTTTCTTAAAGATATCTTTGGGGCATTTCTTATTGATTGCATCACTAATTCTACAACATTTTCTTCTTCGTTAACCGCTGTTACTATTTTCTTTTTTGATACAGAACCAGTGTTTTTACATTTTTGTACAATCCGTTGTTTAGTCTTATCTGTGACTATTATGCCAATTAAATCGTCTTTGAGCTGCCGCGAATGAGAGCAAACCATAGCACTGAACAATAAATACTTTTTGTTCGAGAGTGAGCATTGTAATCTCAAATAAAATATTACCTAATGAATCACGAAGTGACTGTGACAAAAGATAGTAAACATTATTTATTTGGTTGTTATAGCCACAGCATCCGCATTATAGCACGCACAATCAGGTGCCCGCCTTATTTAAAAAAAAAAATCAACAGAAATTAGTGAAACTTCAAATTTTTAATCCCCTGTGGATCCTAGATGACACATCCCTGATAATATTTTTCGATATTGTCAAAAATAACGGTACTTTACTATTGGCGACTAACAATATTTTTCTAAATACTGAACATCCTGTACAAAAAATGACAAATATTTTAACCGTGTTGGAACAAGCAGAAGTTTTTACAGTGACTTTTGTCGTAAACCCACAAATAAAAACCTTTTCCCTCTTCCGGACATTACAGCGGGACAAGCTGTATGTGTAACCCTCACGAATTGTATTCGAATGTTTGTTTATTACTGTTGCATATTATTTACTGTAGCATGGATTTTTTTAGGATTGCAGTGATTGTTGCCCCTAACAATAATGAAGAAATTGTCAAAAAGCGTTTTTTAGATCGAGCCTGCAATTTCTGTGTGTTTTCATAGCTTATGTCAGTATTTGTATTTTTTTGTCATTCATAATTATAATTAAGTAAAATGTTCACTCACTAAAATAAAAAATTATTGTTTAATTTAAAATTGAATTCTAAAATTTAATTTATTTATGATTCTATAGATTGTTCATTGATTACATATCTCTTATTACTTTTTGATCTGGATTAGGCCAGGAAATATTACAAAAAAGCACCTTTACATTTTGACGTTTCGATCCAGTATGCATCTGATTTTTTCAACATTTTATTATCTCCTCTTAATTCCTTATTCTGTCAGATGCGACAAAGGATCTTCCTGATTTAAAACAAGGTAACAAAATTTTCTTCATGTCTGTAAAAATATATTATTTTTGAAATAAAAAAAGACGCCCCCGGGTGGGCTCGAACCACCAACCTTTCGGTTAACAGCCGAACGCGCTAGCCGATTGCGCCACGGAGGCGATGGGTTGCAATTGTTTTTCGGTGCGGTACATTCAGGAAATAAGATATTACGAGTACAAACTAATTTTGCTGTCTACATAGTGTGCTTTGGAAAAATGTAAATTCGGAAGCTTCAAGTTACAGAACTGATGAGTAAATTTCGGGAATAAAATTGAAATAAATTTGTTGGTTTATGATTAAGATTTATAATTTGTCTGTAATTTGATGCTAAAAAATATCATAGCAGGCTGAACATTTTAAAATTTGGTAAACATGATTGTATACATTTTATTTTAAAATAACTTTCCTAATACAATTTTTTGATATCTTATACGAAGATGACATTTCACTAAACAGTAATGATAATTTATAAAAAATTACTTTTTAATCAATCTAAATTGTTCCTCAAAATGCCAAATTATAAATTAAAAATTATTTGTCATTGACTCCAATAGTTGAAACCATCTGGAAAAGCCCTGGACGTGTTAAGTATGGGAAAATATTTAGTTTTATGTGCTTCTTAATATGTCAAAATAATTTGTAATTTTCTTCAAACTTATTTATGATTTTATTAACTAAACAATATACATTTTAAGTAATATAACGTTTCAATATAAAACAGTAACTATTATAAACAGGGCGATTACAATTTATTTTGCACTACATGTAAATTGAAAGTGCCGATATTGCGGTGAGTTAAACTTATGCCAGATCCAGTGCTGTCAGTTGTTGTCGTAGCTTCTAGTTCTGGGTGTTCAATGAGGCTGTTGCTGTAATTGTTTAAGTTTACTGCGCCCGTTGTATTATTGGCAAGTTTCGTAGGCTCTGCTGAAGATGGTAACAATTTATTTGCGATTGAAATTTTATTTTGTATATAATCTTCTATATATGTATCCGCTACCGTACTAGAATGTCACCCCCCATATCGTTTAATGGTGGTAATATCGGCCCCTGCGTCGGCTAACAGAGTGGCAGAAGAACGTCTAAAATAGTGCCCTGTATAAGTATCCGGATAAGGCAAATTGCTATAAGTTGCTATTCCGTTTGGCACAGTCCTTATTTTGTTGACGCCAACCACTTGATTAACATATTTTTCCCTGACATACTTCACAAAAAATCTTCGACTTGTAACTGCCGGACGTACAGCACAGTATTTGCGGTAAATCCTCATTTGGTCTGGACTTGAAATTACAAACATCTCGGAGTATC